GTGGAACATCCTTACAATTGGGTTAAACTCATTAACAGGATTTTTACTGTTCTTAGCTAACAAGATAAAAACCAAACAATAACATCAACAACAAAAAAGAAGAAACATAAGAACAATGTGGCAATCTTTTAATAAAAATACAATTCAATTAAAATAAAATAACTTTATTACCCAACAATAATTGACAAATGAATGTATGTCGGACGGACCGGACCATTTTCTGAAATCCTGAAATGGCTGTTATTCTTTCACCAAAGTAATTTCTGTACACATACAATGTGGCCAAGGTATATGAAAATCCCCTCCTCTCACTCACTCAATCATCATTTAATTATAGAGTTATGGCTTCCGTGTTATGTTTTTTCCGGCATCTTGGTCGTGTTCATGTTGCAGATATCTTCTCAGCTACTCCCTGCATTCCCTCTTTTTATACCATGTTAGAAAAAATTATAGTTTATGCAACAGAATGCCAAGGGTAATTAGATGGATGGCAAAAAAAAAGACTAAGAATCTTGTCTTTTTCACCAGTAGCAGCTTGGCTGCTAGACCACAAAAACAATAACAGCCACATCTACAACAATTGCCCCCAAAGAACTGTCATCAAGAACTCGTTTCTTTTGATTGAAGAGCAACAAACAACAGTTTTAGCAAAATAAAGTTGATTGAAAACACAATAGAATCACATTGAATGCCATTGGCTGCTGCTGTTTGATCTCAAAAAGATCAGCTGCCAGACAAAAAGTTGCAGAGAATATTTGATAGTCTTAGACAGGAGGAAAATCAGATAGAAAAATGTTAGAAACGAGATCAGGAGCTTTGGTTACATCAACTCAAGTGCATGTAGATTTTTTTATGAACCGCTTGATCAATAAAACGAAAGGCTTGTCATCAATCAACATAATTGAGGATGAAACGAAAAAAGACGAAAAACACAACAGCAACAACAACATGTGAAGTGAACTTTAAAATGAAATTGCCATCAATTTTCAGTTAGATCGATAGGTAGGTAGGCAGTAGCCTGAAACTAAAATGACAAATATCCATAATATCGACAGTGGAATATCAATGAATCAAGTCGATGAATGAAGTTCATGTGAAATGTCTGCAGTACAGGAGTTGAAGGAATGTGCGAGGGAAAGGGGTGTGCATAGACTATAGAAAGGGGTTTTTATAGAAAAGCAGAAGTTAATGTTTTTAGGAGATTTGAAGGTAGGCAGTCTTTTTAGGTGAGTTGAAGGGAGTCTTTATAGGTGAGCTGAAAGGAGTCTTTATAGGCAAGCTGAAGGGAGTTTTTATAAACGAGCTGAAGGGAGTCTTTCATAGATAACCTGATGTGAGTCTTTCATAGACGAGCTGAAGTGAGTGTTTCATAGACGAGTAGAAGGGAGTGTTTCATAGCCGAGTAGAAGGGGCGTTCTGAACGAAGTCACATGGACGAACTGAAGGGATACTGATACTTGGTGTATAAAGGAGCTAGAGCTCTTTCTGTATTTTAGCGGCGAACTAAAGGAGGGAGAGGTCTTATCATAGACGAGCTGCAGTTGGAAATTTTTCTTTAATTTTTTAATATTCGGTCTATAGAGAGCAGAAGGAAGTATTTAAAGAAAAGCTGACTTAAGTAGTCTTCCTATAGATGATCTGCAGCGAGGAGATTTTGTCTATTTTTTTTCTGCTACATATATGAGCTAGAGCTCGGTGGGTAAATGACCTGCTCTTCAGTCTATTTGGTCTATAAAAGAGCTGGTATTCAATCTATAGGAAAGCTGATTTTCGGTCTATAGGAGAGCTGATCTTCGGTCTATAGAAGAGCTGATCTTCAGTCGATAGAAGGGCTTATCATCGGTCAATAAAACAGCTACTTTTCGATTTGTAACATAGTTGATCTATGGAAGAGCTCCCTCTATATTCTGCGGTCTATATAAGCGCTGATCTACGGTCTATATAAGAGGTTGAGTATCGGTCTATGGAAAAATCAGCTTCTGTTTAAAGAAGAGCTGCTATTTTGACTGTAAAAGACTGTAAAAGTCTATAAAAGATCTATGTCGGTAAAAGACCTACTCTTCCGTTTATAGATTAGAAGATATTTAATCTGTAAAAGAGCTGGTATTCGGTACATAGGAGAGCTGATCTTCGGTCTATAAGACAGCTGATCTTCTGCATATAGGATGACTCATCTTCGATCAATAGAACGGCTCATCATCGTCCATAGAAGGGCTAATCTTTGATCTATAATATAGTTGATCCATAAAAGAGTTGCCTCTATGTTCTGTGGTCTATATAGGATCTGAAATTCGGTCTATATGAGAGGCTGATATTCGGTCTATGGAAGGTCAACTTCTATATAAACTCCCATTAGGTTTTTATAAGAAGTAACCATTAGGTATTTAGAAGATCTGTTCTCTCCTATGTCTCTGGAAGACTATAGAGTTCCTGTCAGTGAAGTTTTGGTCTATACAAGACCAAATCTGTCGGGTTGACTGGTGCCAAATCCAAACTGTTCACTTGGCCAACATTTTTTCTGTTAACTCTCTTACAGAAAGCCAACATTTAGAAGATTTGTAAATTTTATATCAGTATAACTGAGAGTTCGAATTGACCCAGTCTTGGCAAATATTTTTACTAAACTTGGATCAAGTCTGAAGATGCCAGAGTCCAATTTCTCTGCTATCCCCCATAAAATGTCAATATTAGGAAAATTTATAATAGAATGGGGTATTAGATTTGATGCAAACTTTGAACATCGTAATATTTTTGCCACATTCATGATTAAACGGAATATGGGATCTATCGGTCCACTTCTACTAGTACTAGAGAGTCTACATTTAAAACATTTTTAAATAAACATTTTGGACGCTTGTAAATTTCATATTTAGCTATTTGACAAAGTGTATTGATTCAAATTTTTAAATTATAATATTTTTTTTGTTATATTCAAGGATCATTGTAATATTTTTACCAAACCTACATTAAATGCGAATTTGCTTAAACTTCGTAACGAAAATCTCATTTATAGAAACTGGGAGAAAGCATCCATATATGGCGCCCAAAGTTCTTTTTTGTAAATTTTCTGCGATAATTTCTACATTAAAAGCGAAGTTTGGGTTTACTGGTTAATTCCTCTTGGTACCTCCCTCACATATACTAATATTAATGAAATGATGAATTCTATTTGGTTCAAACAAAAATAGGTAATAAAAGATATTTTCATCATATATATCTCGACAATACGGACTGAAACTTTCTGACTAGTTATTTTATCTGAGGTACCACATTTTTGCCACCACTGATGCGAATAAAAAATAATTTATCTCCACTAATTTTTCATTTGGTATTTATTATTTCTCTATCGATAGTTATTTTTCAATCAGCCACAACCCAACAAATGAATTGGAATTCTTAGATATTTAAATAAATAGAAAACAAAAAACATACAAATAACCAGTGAGCGGAGCAGTATAGTCGGACGGGGCCGACCATACGATACCCTACACAACTACCACTGAACTCAAATTTTCTACATTAAAAGCGGGCAATATTTGGGTTTACGATTAGAGGTAAACAGCATTCCTCACACTGACATATTTTCGAATATTACATATACAGTAAGTTATTTAATGACTCGAAAATAACACAAAAATTAAGTTTTCGGTCCACGTCATTCCAAAATTAATATGATCATCACCGAAAATTATAGGCGTTGTTTGACCATTGGAACCTCAAAACATTTCAAAGCGATCAATAAAAGATATTTAACATACAAATACATATATATCAGATCACATACAACAATATAATTGGTCTTAATTTAAAGGTCAACCACTCCTCTTGGATACAATATCAACTTTTCGGGTCTATGTCCTTCAGGGGTAAATATAAACGCTATAGAATACAAATTTTGTCATTTTTCACACCACTGATGCGATCTTTATCAAAAAATAATTCTCCAAGCAAAATCTCCACTAATTTTTCATTTGGTATTTATTATTTCTCTATCGATAGTTATTTTTCAATCAGTCACAACCCAAAAAATGAATCGGAATTCTTAGATATTTAAATAAATAGAAAACAAAAAACATACAAATAAAAATATTTAAAATTCCTTGCATTTTGGCATTTAAACAATACCGAGTCAAACGGTTAATTCACAAAAAAAAAACCGGCAAACGGTGTATCTGTCTATGGACACACAACAGAACAATTCTGGAGATTATTTAAAACAGATTTGTATGGAATTAAAATTGAAAGGAATGACTATACAGCAAATGCCATAACATGTAGAGCTATTGTATTCCAATGGCGGTGCTTGGTTGGCATACCACGAACTCACACACACACAGGTTCTAATGTTTAGAAGTTCAGTGCAATTGTTTTGCCCAAAAGTGCATTAAACTTTGAATCGCGCTGTCTGCTATGAACGACAATAAAACAATAATGAAAGCTTTGAAGAAAAAAATAACGAACAAAATTAGAAGACGGTAATAAAACAAATAGACAATGTGGCTGGTGTGGTGTGGCATGGCGGCGTGGGCGAGATAAGGTACCATAGCGAACTACAACTATTGTGATACATATGCAAAGATTAAAGAGAGCCAAACTTCTTGACTGCCACCCACCTTTTAGAAACAAAATTTGGTTTGGTTTTTCAGTTTTTTTTTTGTTGGAACTCCAAAAAACCGTAATTCATAGATATTGCGAAGATAGCTGGTTGGCTGGATAGCCGGCCGACTTGCGGATGCATATTCAAATGCCTGGCTGCAGACTAAGCAGCATAAGGAATACGATACCGCCACGCCAAAGACGATGCTCTGTGTGCAAGCATTTAGAATCAGAGGAAATATTTTTTAATTGTTATTTTTGTGTTTTTTTTTTCATCGTTGTTGTTTACTGCTCATGTTCATGTTCTTGTTGTAAATTTGTATGTTTAACACAATATACATATTTGTGAATGGATGGATATTTGAAACAATGGTTTAACAAAACCAAAAAAATGTAAAACTTACCTCAGGCACTGTAACCTCATAAGGTGTGTTCATGAAACGTGGCGCATTATCATTAACATCAGACACGCGCACTATAATCGGTATATTGCGACGTTTGTTCGAGGAACGTACTGTACAGGAAACCTGAAATGAAAAAACAAAAAGCGAAGAATAAAATTAGCAATTAAAGAAAACTTTGTGCAGAAATATTGGTGGTAATAAAAAAATACTGTGGTCGTTATGCACTACATTCATATTACACCTGCTCGCCTTTAAAAAAAAGAGTAAACTTGTCACATAATTTATGTACACCCCTTTTTCGTTACAATAAAATGAACAACATCAACAGTTATGGCTTTTTAGAAAAAATGTCTTAATTACGACGAAGAGTTTTCTAACGTATGGGGAGTATACCCAGTGTGCAATTTGCTTTTCAAATGTATAATTATGTAGACGATGTGATAGTTTACTGATGTGAAAACAAGATATAAAGAGGATGATAAGAAATAAAATGCTATTAAAAACAAATAGAGGATAGTGAGAACTTGATATAAAGACTGTAGTGGGTAGGATCAACAACTTAACTAAAGGAAAAAATCATAATTTTCTTTGATTATATACACTACACGAGGAATATATTAACAAGCTCCCTATCTACTCCCTATCCCTATCTACCTATAGAAGTATTACATCAAACGAATGCCGATAGATGTATTCTATATATAGAAATCGGAATACATTATAGATTTACTTTGGTCTTTATATAAGGTCTATTGAACATTTCTATATGTATAGAATAATAATAAAATTTAATCTACGTATAGAAAGCTGGTGGACGGACGACTTTTCCTATATTCATAAAACCAATAGAAGGCCTTCTCTTTTTACATTTTCCATTCTGAAGAACGACTATTACTAAGAGAAGATTTCTGTCTGAGAGATTTAATAATGTATATCTGAAGAGGACTAAATCGAACTCTTCCATTTTCAGAAGATCTATAGGTAGTATTTTATGGATAGATGACTTAGAAGAATATGCCTATAAAAAGTTTGTTTCTCATAAAAGTATAAAAGGTATATACATGGTCTTTTACGGATAGACGACATTGATATACGAAATATGTCTTTAATTGTACATTAAGACATATATTTGTAGAACCCCTTGATTTATAGAAGATCTTTCAAAGGAAATTATCTACTTATAAAATAGGGTATTCCATAAATATACAAAGGATGTAATTAAGCGTATAGGACGTCTAAAGAAGTCTTCAATCTATAGAACATCTGAAGAATTCTTTAAAACAACTGAACTCCTGCTCTCTATTTGCAAAAAAACTCTAGTAGCCGATTTTCGCAATCCTCCCTATATACCAATTATTAATCATTAAAGAAATTTCAAAATGCAAGAAAAAGTCAGTTGACCAAGTCGTTTCTGTTCAATTGTAAATGGTTTAAAACAGTTTTATGGTCGATTTTTAGCTCCTGGGCGATGTAACGACTGCTAATTGCCAGTCAACTTCAATCATTTCTCCGATTTTATCGACATTTTTGACGACCGGCCTAATGGATTTCCAAGTTAGAAAATGAAGAACATCTTGACCGATTACATTTATCCTAGTTCATACTATTTGGAACCGATTGGATTATTACTTTTTCAGTTATCGTGCCACATAATCATAAAAAAACACATCAACCTGGAATATATGGCGGATATTTCGAAAGGAATTTCTATCGAAGTCGGTTTTGTAATAGGCCACAATTTCTGAACACGTTTCAATGGATCAGCCAAATTAGAAAAAGGACAGCTGCTTTGTCATCAGTGAACTTCTGAATGTAATTTAGAGAGTCAGGAAAAAAATATTAGAGAAATATTAGAGAACTCCGGATAATAATAGCCAGTATATCGGGTACTAACCGAGTAATTGACACATCTCTCGATTTTTTGGAATACGACTCTTTTTTGGAATAAGAGTATACAGTGCTTTGTCATCAGTGAACTTCTGAATGTAATTTAGAGAGTCAGGAAAAAAATATTAGAGAAATATTAGAGAACTCCGGATAATAATAGCCAGTATATCGGGTACTAACCGAGTAATTGACACATCTCCCGATTTTTTGGAATACGACTCTTTTTTGGAATAAGAGTATACAGTGATGGTCCAACCACATTCTCTGCTAATGATATTGGCGATTAATGTCTTACCGAATATTCCCATTTACTATCGGATCGAGGACAATATAGACGTAAAGACCATGAATCCTCCGAGATAATCCTATGTTACGTAAAGTGGTGAGTCTTTATTGTTATGAATAAAATAAACGATTATCTACATCAGCAAAACATTCAAAATATATAAAGTGAACTCACAATCCGGGAGCTATTAGATTTTAATTTTTAATTACATATATCTGGCGACGTAAGTGCTGGCCACCTTTTAATATTTCTTCCAGAATTGCATACACCAGTTTCTCCTTCAAAGTCAGGAGTGCCACCTTTTAACTCCAAGAAGCTTTAAATCAACCTGGAACTTGTGCGACAATACGAAGGTAATGGTAATGGTGGTTCGAAAATTCCTATTTGGGATGAAAGATCTTGGTGAGCATAAGAAGACCTCAGAAGGAAAAATTTACCATAGGGCAAAGTTCGGAGATGTGACGACCCTATTATACTTGAAGACATATATTTATATCTGCATTTGTAGCTGTGGTAGTTATTATTACAGATTACATTTTCTCTGTAACTTCGGGTAAGGTTTTTTTTAAACTTTTCTAAATCGACTCCTTGTGCGGTCTTTTTGTCCTTAATTTATTGAACCGGACTCAACTTATCAGAAAATGCGATTTTCCATACTCGCAATATTCTACAAAACTGTTGCTCATAAGATTTTAGATGGGGCCCTCAAAGACGAGAAATCGATATTTTATCGTTTTATTGGTCTATTCTCAAATTTACCCGTTACTTGTTACTAAAACCGTATATGCATGTATTTCAATAAGTTCAGTATATTCGTCCGAATTATTTTCTACCAAAAAATAAATTTTGAGGAAAAAAGAACCGAGTTTCTAAATTTTTTGAACCGGATATTCTAATATGTCGTTCTATCTAATTTTAACAGGCCATCGATAGCGAGTCCAGCAATAGGCTGATATTGGTGCAATTTAGAGAACTAAATCAAAGTAAGGCAAATTCGAAGCAAAACAAATCTACAGAGAACGAAATCCTGAACTAAAGCCCTCCCTGCCAACAAAGCTCTTATGTCGCACATCATTTGTAGCAGTATTGACTCTGTTTTTTTATTTCGGTTATTAGAGGGTAAAATACTAAAAATTATCCAATATTTTTTTACTTAGTTGGAATATATATTTTATATTTTTACGGTCCTTGCCGAATTTTCATATCGTAGACAATTCCTGGTAAACAGTTTTTAATATATGTATTAACTTCGGCCCGATATATACATATAGCTTAGGAACGAGTACATATTTAGGAGTATCTCAAATAAGGGTTTCTATTTGAAATCGGCCTTTTCCCCCTCTACAGAGTATCTTATGCAGTTTCACTAAGAAACCCGTTTTTCTGCAAAAATTTGACTTATTCAATTATGTTTACTTACTTGAAATACAATATGACTTAAATTCTCTTCATCGCGATCCAATGGCTGTAGCAGTTGTAATTTTTTGCCATTCAATAAGAATATAGGATTTCCTTTGGGAAAGACTAGATCCAAGGCAATTTCCGTAAACGGATCACCAAATATGGGTAGTTCGGGTGGATTTGTTTGTTGGCCAATATCTGAAAAAGAGAGAAAAACAAAAACAAAAATTCATTAACATATTTTCATTGCAAAGCAAAAGAAAAGGATAAGAGCAAAAGCGTAGGCAACCGTTATGGTAGCCAAATAAAACGCAGGCCTTTCACTTTAACGGTAAGGCATGGTAAAATAGTTTGGTCTAATCATTTTTTAAATGACTACTAAATGGAAATAAGTCTAAGATACTTAACTATAGCAGGAGAAGCATAAAAAATGCTGTGCAGTAAAAAAAAATGTTGATGACAGTGCCACCATTAACATTTATAACAGACGACAAAAAGAGCAATGTCCGCAATGGAGAATCTGTAACTGCAGCGTGCATTGGATGTTATCGTTTTACAATTGCTTTTAATTTTAGAGTGAGTAAAGTGGGCAGTGGGAATGTAAACTTATTTTTATGAGGGAGGTATGGAAGAGATATAGGATTTTTGTTTTATGGGGGAGGAATTAAAGAGGGATATTTTAAGGGACTGAAGAATGTTATGTGGATCTAAGAAACTTTATAAACATAACATTTGTATTGAATATTTAATTCGTTTTATATTTTCAATATTTTTTAATATTATGGAGCAGTATATTTTGGCATTTTTAGATACAAACATTTTTCCAAGGGCCCAAAGTGGCATATACATTAGATCTTTTAACGTGTTAACCTGCTTTATGAGGATTCTTTTGATATATTATGTACAAATATAAAAGTCTATAAGAACCTTCCAATTAATTGAAATCATTTATTCAAAATTTATATTTTCCAATTTTTCCATACCCATCTCGTTTTTCTTTCGCTCGCTTAGCATTTTAAGGTTTTTATGGCTCTATGGTGGTGCATAATAAATTTTAGCATTAGATTATTAACTACTATTAAAGAGAACAACTCTGAAATCTAAGGAGTAGAATGCCTACTTAAAACATCGACATAATAAAGTCGGTATTTATTTTTGTGAATGGCAGCCACTTAAAAGAGTCTTCATAATATTTTTCCTTAAATAGAAAATTTAATATTAGCTATTTGGTGTCGCATTTAGAATGGCAAACAGATGTTCAAACAATACTAATATAGATAACTGGAAAAGATTTTTCATAGCAGAAATTTGACAATATTAGAATTCTATAATATGATTATAATTATAAACCGATGAGGAAAGCCGCACAATGATGGATCCGACTACATGATTCTCTATACCATGGTTATTGTATTAACCCTAAGATCAATGACCGGCTACAGTTGTACCTTTTTTATTAAGAATGCTGTAAAATTTTGACATGTATTTGGTCAATTTGTATGATATTTTTTTTTATCACTTTTTTGCTGTAGACAAACAAATTTTCAATTCCGTTGAGGAGACTTTTGATATGAAAAAAAAAATACTTCCAGAGGAGACTTTTTTATAGAAAAAAAATCAGTCTTTTTATATAAAAAATCATGACAATTTCAAAAAAAAAAATCATCTGGATTCAGAGAAGATGTTTTTCTTTTTTCCATGAATGAAAAATTCCAAAAAATCCAAAATAATAATTCAAGTAATTTAAGGAGAATTTTTGATATAGAATACAACAATTCCATCACGTCCCTGAGGAGACCTATTTCTTCAGAAAAAATCTATCAGGACCCTGAGAGGTATTTTTTTTATTAAAAAAATCGTCAGGACCATGAAGAAAAATTTCATCAGTCCCATGAGGAGCATTTTTATATAAAAAATAATTACAATTTTCAAAAAAAAAAAAATCATATGGGCTCAGAGAAGACGTTTTTCTTCAAAAAAAAAAAAAAATCCATTCCCTGAGAAGTTTTTTTCTAATGAAAAATTCCAAAAAAAACCAAAATAATAATTCAAGTAATTTTAGGAGAATTTTTGATATAGAATAAAATTCCATCAGGTCCCAGAGGAGACCTATTTCTTCAGAAAAAAAACATCAGGACCCTGAGTGGTATTTTTTTATTAAAAAATCGTCAGGACCATGAAGAAAAATTTCATCAGCACCATGAGGAAGCATATTTCATTTTTTTTAAACAACAATTTCATCAGGTTCCGGTTCCTGAGGATCCTTCCTTTCTATAGGAAAAAATCATATCTTTTTCTATTGTAAAATTTTTCGTCAGGTCACCGGGGGACACTTCATTTTCTATAAAAATACATTTAGTCAGGAGCCCTGAGGATACTTCATTTTTTTAAGTTCGTCCGGTTTGAAATGGTTATACGCTCCCGAAAACTCATTCAATATGATATTACGTGAGAAGATTACACTGGAAAATTGGGACTAAAAACTTCTAAGTACTGAAAATGAGCGGGAACTTTATATGGAGGCTATGTGAAAAAAAATACCTATAAACCAAATTTTCTGCAAAGATTTTTTCACCTTCCTAGTATTACGGCCGAGACCTCCAGACTTTAATGAGAAAATTCGTTGACTACCTTCAAAATGCAGAAAAATACTGGGACCTCTATATGAAGCTACGTCAAAACATGGTTATCGAACATTTTCAGCAAATATGTTTTTCATGCTTCAATTTATGAAAGCTATACCAAAATGTGGACCGATATTTGTTATTTTCAGTCAGAAGATTTGGCACCCAATGAAAACCTAGAAATATCAAATTATAGCTAATGGCTTGCCAAAATTTCTCTTCCTAAACACACTGGGGCTGTACCAAAAAGTGGATCGATATATCCCATTTTCAATTCTAAACATCCGAGGAGTTGTTTCGAAGCTCTGTTTATGTATTGCTATCTCTGTCGTACGTGCGGACATAGCTAACAAAATTCATATTTGTGATTATGTATTCTTCTTAAAAAATCCACGCTTTAAGGTCTCCGATGCCACATTTTTTTCGTAACATGTATCCTTTAACGACTACTAGTCCCAGGGTCAACAAAGAAAAGAAACTGCTGTATATATATTTGCATCGTCATTTTCCACAATTTAGCCACTTCTTTCTTACTATATTAACATTTATTCGGAAAACAGATACGGTTCTTAAAAATTTAAAACCTGGTGTTTAGATTAAAACTCCGATTTTTGATCATTATCAATTATTTTGAACATTATCAATTTTTAATCAGATGTAATAAATTATGTGCAAAATTTCGCTGTAATAGGACAAACGAGCACCCTTAAAATTAAATGGTAAGAAAATATATATGGGAACTATATCTAAATATAAAACGATTTTTACTAACTCCAAAAAATATACAAACAAACTGATATTCTCATATATGATTATAATCTCAAAAGTAAGTATGGTTCTGTCTTCTTTCCTCATGTTACATATAAATGCACAAAAACATAATACCCTAAACCAGATTATAGTGCAGGGTATAAAAATTGGTTGTTAAATCCGAAGTTATAATAATGAATGTATTTTTATGTCTCCAGCTTATATGGACAAGATATATTTTAATATTCAGATTAATTTCATCAATTGAATGGAATTAACCGAAGAATAGGCCTTTGCCACACGCCTTATGGTCTAGTAGTCCTTTGAAAAATTCTTCTTAAAAAAACCACGCTTTTGAGGAAAAAAAAATCGGAGAAAGCATTTAAACATAAGTAAAAAAACCACGCCTTGAAAAATTCTTCAAAAAAAATGGTCTAGTAGTCCTTTGAAAAATTCTTCTTAAAAAAACCACGCCTTATGGTCTAGTAGTCCTTTGAAAAATTCTTCTTAAAAAAACCACGCCTTATGGTCTAGTAGTCCTTTGAAAAATTCTTCTTAAAAAAACCACGCCTTATGGTCTAGTAGTCCTTTGAAAAATTCTTCTTAAAAAATCCACGCCTTATGGTCTAGTAGTCCTTTGAAAAATTCTTCTTAAAAAATCCACGCCTTATGGTCTAGTAGTCCTTTGAAAAATTCTTCTTAAAAAATCCACGCCTTATGGTCTAGTAGTCCTTTGAAAAATTCTTCTTAAAAAATCCACGCCTTATGGTCTAGTAGTCCTTTGAAAAATTCTTCTTAAAAAATCCACACCTTATAGTTTATTAGCGCTTTGGCCCAATATATTATGGTCTAGTAGTCCTTTGAAAAATTCTTCAGGTGTATATTTAAAATTCGAGCATCCTTAAGATTTAGTTCTTTACACATTTTACCCACATTACCCCAAGACGACACAGTGGCGTTTGCTTGAAAAGCACACACTTCAATGATGGTTTTTTTTAGAAAAAACAAAAAATTCCATCAAGGCCATGAGTGAGGGTATCATCATGTCATTATGTGATTGCTGAAAAAATTTACTACCTTGGCAGTCAACATCGCCAAGATATGTGTTTGTTGTTCTAGCCAATTAATGGTAATTATTTTAAATTAGCATTTTGAACCATGCAGCGGAATATATATATAGATGCAAACTAATCAAAGCATCACCACCACCATGACTATGTCTTTCAAGTAAAAGGAAGTAATATGGAAATTCTAAAGGAACCACAAATTGCCACGTGCGTTTAGGGCCAACAAACTGCTGATATGATGCTGTTTTTATATTGTTGGTATACTTGATTTTGAATTTTATAGTGTTTGAATTAATTTCCGGTTGAGTTGTTTCAGGTCTAATGTTACACAAAGAGAGCAATAACACACTCATACATATTAGTTCAAAGCAAAGCGAGAGACCCATCATTTTCACAACATCATCATCAATGGCAGGATCAGAGTTGTTTTTTTGTTTGGCTCATATTTATTGGCGTCGTCGTACTCATCATCATCATAAATATGTGTGTTATGTTACAGAAAAAATGGGTTTAATGTTACACTTAGTGAAGGGGACAGTGGGTCTCTGAAGCAGTTATAAGATAAAAGTATTGTAGGAAAGAGCAAATTAATAAAAGTGAATAATTTTTAAATGACTTCCAGAACTCCAAACAGAATTTTGAAACGACTTTTTAAACTCAATATATTTTTTCAGAAAGCTTTGCAGCTTGGATAGTTCAGGAATATTTTCTGAAGACTGTTAGACCTCTATGATTGAGCTTTTATATTTTAGAATAT